AAAACGTTGTGGGAAGACCAGGTCAGTGGTAAACAAACGTTTGGACTGTGCTTCGCCCAGCCCCTCAGGAGGTGAGGGACATACTATGTCCACAGGGTCCCCAACATACCCAAAGTGGGAGGGGATCCAGGCAAAGAGTGAACGCCTTTTGACCCCCTTCAAACAACATATTTGTTGATTCCCCAAAAGAAGGGTTCTGCAATTAATGGAGGTGCTCAAGACATCTTACAGTCCAGGTCATGTGGGTGTTTGTGTTTGCGGGTGTGTGTGTGTTGTTAGTTGTAAGGACAATAACATTTGGAGATGCCAGCATCTTCAAAGATTATAACTATATGCCAGCGTCAATGGCATTTACGGCGGAACAGCTTGCTGCGGTATGTTGTGTCTTCGTGGCATGCCATTGGAATAGTCTAGCTCTAGCATGATATCATTGTCTTTGTTCCACTATGCTAGGCTTTGCGGTGACATGCCAGAATATGTTCAATCCATTATATGATATATTTGCTGTGATCAGTGGTTGATGCTTGGTGCATATACTTTGAGCGGGTGCAAAACGTCTGTCCGAAGCAACTGCGCAGATACACATTTCATTTGGAGCCTCGAAGGGGGTTGCAGCCAGTGACTAAGGACACAAGAAGCATATGCATTGAAGAGTGTTGTGCTGCCTGCAACTTGTTTGCACATACGAGTCTTATTGTGCCATGCCATGCTGATTATATATATATATATGTCTATTATATATATGCACAAAAATTCGAATCCATTTGAAGGGGTCTATGGGAAAGAGGAAGTACTCTTTCGCGTGGTGAAACTTAACCTGTATCCCGCGTGATATGGTTGCACCCAACTGGGTGACACATGTCTCTGCCTTTACATGTTACATCCTGCCAGCCGCTACGCAATTTGTCAACATATTTGTTTGTTCCAGCCCTGGCTGTTCGCGGTTCAATGGGAGGTTCCATGACGCTGCAGCAGATGGGATAGCAAGTACGCGCCAAGAACACATGAGAGACAATCAAAACCCGGGTAGATGAAGGTTAGTAAGGGGCAGTCCCAGACGGAAATAGTTGCAGCCACGTTTCTACTTCTAGGTTCACTATCTTTGTACCAGGTTTTGATTGTGACTCACATTTCTTGGAACACTTTGACTGGATGCAGGTAGAATGTGAGCCACTGGCCCGCCGGTATGTGTGATGTGTCCATCCCTGGAGGTCAAACTCCAGCCACACCATCTCTGAAGGCTGGCGTTCAAGGGCCGAATCGGAGGGAAAGCTGGCCATGGGTCAAAATCCAGTATTTCAGTGAACATCCCAATCCCCACTAAAATAGACTAAAATGAGCGGTGCACCTACCCCAAAATGGTACCATTGGTTTTGACCCACAGCGAGCTGGCACAAAGATCAGCAGCTTGCTGGGGCGAATATCAGCCTCAAATTCTGAAAGCAACATGGGGTGGCGGCAATTTGTTCACATGGTGCCCCATTGAATCAAGAGGTTTGTTGATTTGTTGGGGGCGTATGACGTGGCCCGAGCTCAGCATGGAGCATGGAGCATAGAGGGGGCAAGCTGACTCGGTCAGGGCTTTGCGTGAGGGAACGCTCTTTGGGCGAGCCTTTTCCAGTGACCCAAACGAGGCCAAAGACAAGGCCCCAACTTTCCAATGTCCTTCTGGGTAGAAAAGCACATTTGCCCGTTGCTCATAATGTGTCGATAGACATATATATATATATATATATATGTATATATACATATGTTGAGTTGTTCTAGACTTTGCGAATTTGTTGCTTCCCTTTGTTTCATTTTTAAGGGCGGGCCATGCTCCTTCGCAAACCGTCGAAAACTCAAAGGGGGCAAACCATCGGAAAGCAGCAGGTTTCGTCCGGGTAGGCCGACGAGGCGGCAGTCTATGAAGCGACTGCTTCAAGACTGTGATGTTGTTGGGTCTTATTTTGTTTCCACTTAAAACATGGAATTGGGGGAGGGGGGTGACCCCTGGAATTCCATTTATGGTTCCGTTTTCCCTTTTTGGGGAAGACGAGATAAATGGAATTAGGGAACCCCCACCCCCCCTCCCCCTGAAGGTAGGGAGGATTGTTTCCATACCCATGCACAGTTGTGCCTTATAAGCTGGAGGGGCCAACGCACATGTTTGGTACTCGTATAACAGGAGCGCGCGATGGTGTAGATATAGTATAGGGCAGAAGGTGACATGTTGTTTAGTCGAAGGATAAGGATGCATCCCAAGACAGGGCGCTCGAAGGACTGGGTTTCCTGTTGGTTTGTGTTTAAGGATTGAGGGGGCGCCTCATATTGAGACAGAGGAATCCAAACCTCCAAAGACCCTTGTTGAACTGGGCGGGTAAAAAAGACCCTGCTTGACAGCTCAGTAAAAGTAAATAGCACGTTTCGCCAATGTTGTTTTTGTTTTAGCTTCGCCACATCTGCTGGGAGTTGCGTTGCACCCTGGTGTACTTTTTGTGCGTCCTTTGACACTGGATGCTTTGGACCCGATGGGGAAAATCGTGGGATCCCCTACACTTGATGTCGCGTCAGGTGAAATGAATGGGGTTCCTTTTCGCTTTGCGCGCGAGGCCTGGAGGCTCGCACAGACAACTCGTCGGATGACCAGACGATGAAGCACACTATGTCGGTTTATTCCGAGCCTCAGCCGGTCAACATTGCATAGCCCATGTTCAATTTGCCCAAAGCGAAACCAAAACGGGATGGGGCATTATTCTGACTGCTTCTGGTGATCAAAGTCACAAACAGCAGTGGTTTCCCTTCACTCTGCTACTTCGGCGGTGAGTCGAGCGGTCAAAAAGTGCCTGCGATTGACATGCTGACCCCTCGTCCCTTGGAACAAAAAGCAGATGTGGTCCAGGGCGCGACAAGGAAGCCGTCACAGATTGGTCGCGTTCATGGCCCGAATGTGAGTTGACTGATCGCCCAAATTTGAAGCAATTGCAGCTACCACACATACACACAACATTTGTTGAATTACATAGTGGCCTTCTTTCCGAATTGCGTGCGAGTAAGTCACTTATTGAGTTTCTGGACGTTTTTTGTTCTTTTTTTCTCTTCTTTTTTCCGGAGAAAGTTTCCTGATGAGCAAAACTTTTGGAGTTGTTTGGCCAATCCATCTACCATTGTGCTGGAACCTATTTGCTTGAAGTACTTTCACAAATATCAAGGGGCATTCCGTCAAAGGGCATGGAGGGCAGGTGATTGCTAAAGCTTGCAATTGAAGATGCCCGGCACTCTGGTCATTTGATGCCTTCAAATACCAATTCTTTGAGACCACTTGGCATTGTACTTGCATGTGCCATTGTACCTGCCGGAAACGACGTGCCGCAAACGCGCTGGTGTCAAACTGAGCTGTCAGCTGCGAGGCTGATTTGAGGTACACTCACCAGATCTCGTCCAGTGAACATATTGAATAGAGCCCTGCTCACAACCCTAGTGCTTCATTCCCCTAGCCGAAGCGAAATGAGTATGGGTCAAAGTTTAAGCACCAGGGGACCGCAGATTTTAGTTCATATGTCCATATGCCAGGGTTGAATTTTGGGTACCCATTTTTGACCCACAGCCAAATGAGCTGATTTGCTGATTTGCCAAGGATGCGAGCAACGCCAGTACGCGATCCTCCCACCGTCACCACTGCCAACGCTTGAAGCTCGTGGAGACGATGGGAGCTTTGGCAACCGAATGGGATGGGGGGCCTTGTGACACAGGGGGTGTCCAGTTGAAGGTGGCACCCTTGTTGGTGTTTGAAGGAAACCTCATGATCCTCATGGAGGTAACATTGGTGTTTGAAGGAAACCTCAGTTGGTGCTTGTTGGGATGCCAACATTTTCAAGAGGAGCTAGTGGCGCCTGAGGTTTTCGAGTGACAAGGCTCCTTGTTGAGCCTCCTCTCATGGAGGTCTTGGAGGCTTCCTGAGGCTGTCCAATCAGCGATCCAACTCTTTCAGAAGGCGACGCCCCGAGAATTCGACAAGCAAATGGCCGAAGCCACACCAACCCTGGAAGGGTAGGCGTTGGGGCTAGTCAGTTTTCTCGAATGCTATGTTCAACGATATTAATGAGGATGCTCTTGATTCTTGATCATGCTAGTGCTGATCCCCGTCAATTGCAAGCAGAGAGCCTACTATGAGCTCTGAATTGATGATGTAGGTGCTGATTCCGTGATCTACTGTGTTCCTTGCATTACATTGTCCCATGAATGTTGTTTGCCAATGGCCACATGGTTAATACAACTGAATTACACACACACGAGGTTTCGGAACCTTCTGGGTGCATTTGGGCTCATCCTCACCCGACTCGAGCCTGTTTCTAGGAAGACTAGCCCATCACACTCATTTCTCTCCTTGAGCATCGAGGCAACCAGGTTGAGGCCTTTTCATGTCGCTCGCCCAGCGAGCGAGCTGGACCCTGTCCAAAACGCGTTTTTTGGGTGGTGTCCCGTTCTGTTGTCCTTTTGATTTTTGCGAGCCAGTGGTCCCTGTGTTGATGTCCCAATTTCCGTGGCGTACGACATTGTTATAACCGTACTGCTTATTGAAGAATTCACACCCACACTTGCCGGAGGCTACTGACAGACAAATGGGGAAGTTATTGGTCAACATGATAGTATCTTAAACGTGGAAACAATCAAGGGGTCCAACTACTTGGGAATCCTGGAAAGGGGCACGCCTGGAAAAGGAGAGCAAAACCCAACCAACGATATTGGACTGACCGTCGGATCTGTGAAGCTTGAATAAGCAAGCCACGCGGAAACCCTTCTCTCTGCAAATTCCGAGGTCTGGCATTGCTGTTCTTGCAGATAAGGTGTGCCTTTTCACCCCCGAGAACATGAACAGGGACACCTGACATTGAGGGCTTCTACAATTTGAGGGGTGTTGTTTATTTTTCCCAAAGGTCAAGGCAAAACCCGGTCGTTACAGGGTGTACTCCTAGCTCTCTGCAACTGCACCCATTTTCGAGCCCTAAGGTATGGGTTTGTCTCATAGGGGAACCCCAAAATTAGGCCCTTTCCCTTTTTCTGTATCTTTGAACCAACCACGAAATGAGTTTCCCTGAGCAAAGACATACCCGGTAGCAGGGCATTTCTCTTGATCTGGAAAAAACGAATTCTGATCCGCCGTGTTTAGCCAACCTGCAATGGGGTCCAGATTTTGTTCGGCTGAGTCTGAGGCCACGTTCCCTCAGCGGCTCTCCAGCGTCTGAGCTGCATGGATCTGTGACAACAGAGACGGGTTGAATTCGTGGACCGCGGATCTCTACAATACATATTAGATAATTCAAGCAATTACCTAACAAGTATTAGTATTGTGTATGTATATATATATATACCCCAGCATATTCCCAGTCTCATTTGTTGAAGCAGCACATCATGTATGTGAGTTGCCCTAGAGGATACCCCAGTTTGACTCAGCATTTTGATGCCTTGCCAAGTCACTTGTCAGGTAACTTTCATATTTGGGCGGACTGTCAACGACCCAATTCCTGACCAGGGGCCGAATCGCTGAACCTTCTCCGCCCCAAGCATGACGAAGAGTGGAGGCCCGAAAAGGCCACATTCGGTATGCCTTTTTGTGGAAACTCTTTTTTGGGGATTGTTTAAAGGGAAACCAAATGCAAAACCACCCAGTTTGGCGGTTCCCCCGTATTTTGAGACAACCCCGCATGTCAAAAAAAGCTCGCGACCCTATTATGGCAATGCAGCCCAATTCAAAGGACAAGTTCATGTTCCAAGTGGTGCATGAGTAATTTCTAGTGACTTACAGATTTGGTCTTGCGAGAGCGCCAGCTTCACACAAACGCTGACTCTGCTTGCCTTTTGGTCTCAGGCTGGTGATCAACAATCCTTGCGGCTTGGCAGGAATGGGACCGAATCTGTGTCTCAAAATACGTTTGGGCCCTGGTCGGTTTCCTTTGGTGTTGACTAAGAAGCTCTAAGGTGTTTGTGTCACCTGTTGTTGGGAATATCATGATCAACTACTGGTTAGGGGCCTTTCAATTTTGAGCCCAGGATGTTTGACTGCATTGAGGGTTGGACTTCTTGAAAACTAGCTAGACCCCCTTCAGCCTGCCACACTTGATAGCCCGTGACTCTTGGATGCCGCAATCCAACACTTACTTGCTGGTGCTCAGCAGGGAATGAGAAATGGTTTGACCCCTACAAACCATCCAACTGGTGGTTTTCTTCATTTGGGAATCCCTAGGTCCATTCCAACTCATTCCCTTCTGAGCATCAGCGAGACGCATCCAAACCGAAGCTTGGGCAAGCCTGGGGCTTCGAAGTAGACATCCACATGGCCCTCGCTAGAGGGGGACTTGGAGCAAAGAGGGCAACATGCCCGCAGAATCACCCAATCCCAGAAATTCCCGTCAGGAAGCAGGTGAATTATTTTCCAAAGAATGGGTTGCCAGCGGTGTGGCTGCTCGCGGCGTTGATTTTTGCTCCTTCAGGACATGTCGACTCTGAATTTATGCGGCTTTCTTGATGCGTCTCATGAGTTGCTCACCATGTGTTCACATTTGTCAGGTTGCTCGCTGAATGGTATGGGGGTTGGCAAATAGGACTTTCATTTTGCAACTAGCCAGGACGAGCTTTATGCCTAGCCAGGATCCAGGCAGAAGGAAAGGCCCAAACAGAGAGGCATATGTTTGTTGGCAGTCCATGTGTTTCTTACTGATGGACGAAATCCACTTGGCGCCACTTGCAATGGTTGGTTGGTATTTACAGGGGAGTCAGAAACCAGGGCTTTCTGGGTGCGAAATGGATTTCGTCCACCCAGAGTCTGGCAGGCGCCGAGCTCCGGCATTGCACCAGTTGCTCACGTGTTGGGTCGCTCAAAAGGAGGGCGGCCGCTTTTTTGACCGGGTCCCTAAAAAATGGCATTGGGGGAGGGGGGACCCCTTGAAATCCATGTCTGGTTCCATCTGCCCTTTTATTGGGAAGACTAGGTAAATGGAATTGGGAAATTGGGATTCCCCCACCCCCCTCCCCCCTCTAGCAGGGGGGATGTGACCGCATTCTGCCCTTGATGAATGGTAAACGCCAAAAGGAAAGCAGGCTCCTTTATGAGCAGGTGCAGCAGGTGCATGCTTTAGGCTGTGATCTATGAGGTGACAAATGATTTCCTCCTAGTGCCTTCCATTGCTATCGTCTTGAGCCTCTCCTTTGACAACATCTCCTTCTGCCCACCAAGATGGAACCCACCGGAGGGTGCCTGTTAGAGGAAACATGCTTTTGAGGACCCCGCCCATTCAGGTTCCATGTCAGATAGAAGGGTCAAGGGGCACCAAGATCCTTTTGGCAGATGACCAAGACGGCCGAGGTGCGCTGGACAGCGTCTATTTGGTAGCCACTTGGCGACATGACCATGAGCTGTTTGACCACCTTCCCACGCCAACCGAGAATCCACGCGCCCAACTGGCGAGCAATCCTTTCAAGGGTCGATGTCTGGTCGCTTGCTCTTTAGGCCTGGTTTCGATGGACTGAGCCCTGCCATGAAAACCACCATGAACTTTTGCCCTTGACGCCTTCTCATAGGTGCGGTTTGTTTGTCTGGCAGGATGGGGCAAATTGGGTGTAAGCTGGATAACCCCCAAGTCTGGCTCAGTTGAAGCAACTGTGTTTTTTTGAGGCCCAGCTTTTCGCTCTGCAAACCTTCCTTTAGAAAGCAGACGTGGGGGACTTCAGAGGCTGCCTCAATACGTGCTGTGACAAGAGTTGGCCCAGCCTTTAGTATTTAGAGTAGAAACTTTGCTCAACAAGAGGTGGTTCACCAATTTCTCCAAACATGTCAATGTTTATCAGCGCCACCCTGATTGCGCTGAGGAAGTCATACAGTAGTTGCCAGTGGTTTGCGCGCGTCAGTCGTTGCCATCGTTGCTGGTTGTTTTGGTTATGGGTGTTTCATGGTGTGTCTTAAGTTGTGGGACCCCTAAAGTGATGTGGTTTGCTTGTGGCTTTCGTCTGCACTCCAACCAAAAGGGGCAAATTCCAGGCCAGAGGGGGGGGCTCAGGCATTGTTGGATGAGCAAAATGTAAGGAGAAGCCCATCGGCAAGGGCGCGTTCGGAATTGTGCGCTTTGCCCGAGTCCGCGCAACAGGCAGGGCGCATTTATGTCAAGCAGGGTGTTGCTCAAGCAGGGTTCCCTATATGTCACTTTATGCCTCAAGGTAGTTTACCTTGAATTGGACCAAAAGGCGATGTTAAGAAGCCTCAAAAGGGGAACTGATTTTAAAAAACGACCAAAAGGCTCTTTTAAGAAGCCCCCAGAAGGGGAAGTGATTATAAGGAACCTTTTCGAAGTAGGATTGAATTGATGAGTGTCGCAGGCTATGCCCGCAGGAGGGGGCTCTTGTTGCACCATGACCGGGGATCCGTAGCGTAAGAGTCCATGATATATGTAAAAGGGTCATTGGCAACCTTGGGCATCTTTGGCTTGCAAATGCTGAGTTCGGCGCTGTATCCACTTGGATTCAAGTTTTGCCGGGTCAGCCAAAGGTATGGGGGCTTGAAGGGAACACAAAGGGACCCAGCCATATTGAGGGTTCCACTAGAGACAACCCCCACATATCCATTTGCAGTTACTGATGCGCAACATGGATGTAGCCTCTAAAACTTACATGATCCTTTTTCCAGGATCCGCCTTTTCCCTGTAACCAGAAAGGTCTGGCAGTGCTGGCTGAACTGAGTCAGCCAGAGCTGTTCCAAGAGGGGGAAAGATGCACTGCTTGATGAACCCGGTACGGCCCAGCAAGGATCGGCGAATGAACGGGCCCTGGTACCAACCACATGTTGTCCTCTTTTGGTTGGGGCGGGTTCTTAGAACCGGGGTTGTCCAAAATTGGTTTTGGACCCCTTTTATCCTGGATGAGCGGGACAGTTCTAGCTGGTTGGTCACCGGACAAGCTTGTGCTTGAGGGGCAGTTTGCGTCATGGGTACGTGGCTTTGTGTCAAAAGTAGTTGGATCCCTCCAAATGAAGAGTAATGCAACTTAGTGAATTATAAGTGTTGTTACACAATGTAGCGTCCGAATTGTTTTGACGTCATCATGAACAATGCATAGCTGCATGGCTAAGCAGATGTGGACAATGCTTGCGTGCTTGCAGACGATTAAGCCACGTAGTCCCTATGGATCAGTGCTGTTCCGGTTTTCTGTTGTCCAGCCTTTGTGTTGCTGTTGTCTCCAACCTAGTGGCTCAGGTAGCAGTTTTTTGGTGGTTTGGATTGGCGGTTTGGGGATCTACGAAGCTCTTTGCAAAGGCTTAAAATCGGCTTTAAACCGCCCCTAACCGTTAACCTCCAAGCCATCAATCACAACCAGTTGGAGGGAAGCTCAGTGGCAGAGGTTTCTTGACCCCATGGCCACTGGACCGAGATGCAACACACTTCTCATAGGGATGGGTGTGTTTCCACGGAGGAAACCTCTACATGGGTAGTTTCCCTTTGAATCCTTTGAATTATCTTCCCCCCCAAAAAAAAGAAGCAAGAGAGAGAAAACAATAATAATAAATAATCAAAACATTTGGAAAAGGAATACAAACAACAAAATCTATGAAAGCAACACAACAGCTAGAAGGTACCTTTGCAACATTCAAACAGCGCCCAACTGATGCTCCTTGTGAAAGGACCTGCTCACCTCAATATAGTTTTCTTGGGCTGCAACCACTGTCTCGCTGGTGTGACGTTTGTCCCTGGCTCATTTGCATTTGCATGATGTGGCATGCAGCTTTGTTCTTCTTTCCACGCTGCCAAAGAGGTACACAATCAGACCATGCTTTCGAATGGGCCCGGCCCCCACCCATCATCAGTGTCCCTGCTTGGAAACACGAAGTGAGTGGTTCTGTGGGGACAGAGTCCAAGCTTTATTGAGTATTGGTCAGGTGCTAAGCGAGCCATCAAAACCATCAGCAAGGAGATGATGCCGCTTGTCCAGAGCAAGTCATGAAGATAAAGGTCGACCTTGTGTGAACCCTCTTTGAGCGTATCACACAATACATACAGGTTGATGCTGATTGGCTCCCGTCAATGTGCATGATGGCTGGGAATACATACTCCGATTTCTAGTTTGTGATCTGGGCATACCATTTGCAAGCTTTCAACTATTCACAAATACTTGGGTAATTAAGGCGAGCTGCACATAATGAAGGGCTCTGATGGCTGATAAATTGTAAACGTTTCGCCAGCCTCGGCCAAGGCCCATTTTATTTAGAGGCTTTCTTGCATCTCCGTTGTTGCACTAAGACCCAATCCGAGCTGAGGGGATGGCAATCGGATGAATCGAAGCATTTGGATCATTGTTCTGATCCGAGGACGACTCAGGCATGTCCGTTCCAGACCTAGTGCCAGTTGTGTCTTGCCAAGATGACCTTGACGTCGTCACACCTCAAGGCTGAGGACCCGCAAGGGAATACACTCAATGTGCAGACCCTTTCGAGCTTCTCTCCTAGGTCCCCCAGTAGTGCCCTTTTACCCTTTTTTGGGGGACCCTTGTTCTAACCTCTCTACTAGAGGACCTGGTCTCAGAAAGGGTGAGCCCATTAACGAATTGTTTTCCTTTGGTCTTCCTTTCAAACACGAATCCATGGCGGCGCCTGCGACGGAGAGGCGTGTGTCTTTGGACCTAAAATTGATTTCGGGTGTCCGCTTTGTTTCCCTTAAACAAAAAAAAGGAACCATAGGACCCACTCCCCTGCAAATTATAACATGGAACCCAAAAAGCCACCAACTGAAGAGGAAGCTCCTTTTGGGAAATGGACTCCGCTTTTGGGTTCCATGTTAATTCGTAGGGGAGTAGGAACCAGCGAACCAGGATCTGTTTTATGCTCCAAAGACTCACTGAGGTGATGCCCAAGTCATTTGGGAACCACAGTTCGCCCCCAAGCATAGTGAAGCCTGCAATTCCCATCCGGGGAACCTATTGATGTTTGGGCTACTCCGCGCTGGTTCCGCTTCCCACAACGCGCGCATGCCTGCACATTGTTCGTTACTACAAACAGAGACCCAGTTGAGTTGAGGAGATGGGCTTCGATCAATCCGCCTTCCTTTGCTTAGGAAGGAGAACACCGCGGCTTTGAAGCTAGAGATCGAGATCATGAAGATGCTTGACCATCCTTGCACCTGATCAGATATTTTCCGGTTCAGTCATGTTGCTTGTGCAGACCACGCATGCCTTCTGCATGTGGCCGCTCCCGAGCCCTTCGCGGCTTGCCTCGCAAGGCATCGTCATGCTCTTCGAGAAGCTCTGCTGCAATATGGGGGAATCTCACTCGAGGGCATGTGCTTTCATCTCTCACATCCGTCGTACTCATATGGCTGTGGGTCAAAACCAATGAGGTACCATTTTGGGGTAGGTGTACCACCCATGCTAGTCTATTCTAGTTGGGATTGGGTTTTGACCCATGGCCATATCATTCCCCCAAAGGTGAGCTGGGGCAATTCAGCTCTCAGGGCCAAGAGCTGATCAATAACCCCAAACCCTTAACCCTAAGCCAAAAACCCAAAGCTTGCAGGCTGATGGATTTTTCACTCGACTCGCGCCTAGTGCAACACCCACCGATCCAGGGGAACGGGCGGCGGACCTGCCTTCAGTTCAGCCGCCAAGCAAATGTCCTCAAAGGTCCCTCACTTGCTGCGAAGAAACGCGCATGAAATCAATTAAAGGCTGCTGTGGCCGTGAGCGTTTGGCATTTGGTATTGTGTCTGCGTATTTTAGTGGAGGCTGGATAAGCCAACCCGGGCTGAAACCGCGATGTAAATATTGCTAGTCCTTTAGGTCAAAGGACTGGATAAACTCCAGCGGCCGAGGGTCTTCGAGGACGAGGACGTGCATTTGTCGATGGAGCTTTGCTCTGGTGGTTGTCTGACCGACCGAGTGAAAGCAGCCGCCTGACTGCAGCCTGCTCCTTTTCGAAGCAGAAGCAGGCTTGCTTAGGTCATGGGTGCTAAACAAGCGGTTCAATCATCGATTGGCTGGTTTCATCGGTCTGGAATGTATCAAACTGTGCAAAAAGACTCTCCATGGCATCATGTTGCCAATGGACTTTTACTCAAGGACAGAAGGACCCAGATCTGCTGAGATTGCCCGTATGAAACTGACTTGCTTGAGCAGTGTGATGGTTAGCCTTACTGCCGACACTATTTGTGCAGACTGACTCTGTCCTGCTGTCCA